CACCACCACAGTCGGGGGCTCTGAGGTCCTTCCTGGACCCATTTGTTATCCTAAGACCTCAGCTGCGGAGAAAGCCCACAAAAGAGGGAGGGGGAGGAAAAAAAAAAAAAAAAAAAAAGGAAAACATCCCGTAGGAGGCTGTCACTTCGTGTAACGGGGCCGGTCCGAACTCCTCCTGGCCTTCTGACAAATTCTCACAAAAGATGTGAAACAACCCAAAGGCTCCGCGACGGAGCGCGCGGAAGAACGGGCTAAACGTATGCGGCGAGAGCGGCCGCCTCCTCCCCGGCTGCAAAAAAAAAGCCGCTCCAGGCGCCGCATCGAAACTGCTGTCAAGATTCCCGCTGTGCTCAGGGAAGAGGAGGAGCAGCGTGCGGGTTATCGGCCGGATAACAAGCGGCGTGTTAGCTCGCATCAAAATCAAAGCCCAGCACGCCCCGCCCCGCCGTGCCTGGCGGTGAGAATTCGGCCGCCGGCGACCTGCTCCGACGTCGGAGCGTGCACGGAGCCTCGGGGCCTTACCCAGCTTCTTGTTGGCAGGTGAAACCAGGACGTCTTCCAGCCGCGCTGCGGGCAGGGATGCAGGAGCGGAGGTGCTGGCTGCGCGGGAGCGGAGGTGCTGGCTGTGGATCGGGACAGAGACCTGGTAGTGGTCCTCTGCTCAGGCCGCTGTCGGAGGGACGAGGGGCTCTGGGAAGGATGCAGGATGAGCGATTTTGTGTCAAAGTCTGCTATTCCATTCGCTAGTTCAGGCACTGCTGTAGGAAAGCACACTCGTTTGCAGAGGGAACGCCAAGAGGGCAGGGGAACACTGACCGCCTCTTTACCGCAACAAGCGAAAAAAAATTACAAAACAATCAGAAATCAAGGCGAGCTGCTCTTTCCCGAAGAGCCAGCCAAACCAACCAGTACTCAAAGCTGACCCAAAACAAAGACAGAACACAAAAAAGCAGGAGGAGGCAGCTCCTCTGGGTTTTAAACACCCGGCGCCCGTCTCCTGCGCCACTGGGCAGACTGACCTGTTCCACCGGGCACGCCTGGCGCGGCGGGATCGCAATCCTCCAGCTCTCTGGCATCAACTGAAAGCGCGTCCAAACCTTCGCTGAGCGAGTCCACGGACTCCGTGTCGTGGGCGCAGCCGTTGACGTGGAAACCGTTCATTCCCCCCTTCTCCGAGTGTGCCAACTGCTCCTCTGCAGCGGGCACCGATTTGGCGGGGTCCGGCAGGTCGGGGCTCGATTCGGCCGGCGGTTTCGGTTTGGGTTTCTTTTTCTTGTTCTAAGGATTAGGTATCCACACCACAAAGGGAGTGGGGGGGGGGGAAAAATGTTAAGCTTAATTCCTGAAGGGAAAATTAAGCTTGTGCTTAGTGGCTGAAAGGAGCTGAATTCCATGCTTTTCCAGCCAGCCTGGCTGTCGATCCTGTTAACAGCAGGAGGGATTTATTCAACAATGAGGACGGATATAGTGGCATTAACGAGGCACGAATGCCTTCTCCTCTCCGACGGTGTGCCAAGGAGAGCAGCGCACTGGTTATGGGATGAAGGGTGCGTACGGATGGGAAAGGGCCAAGAGGTTTGTGGCCGTAAGCCCTGGCACCAGCCGGGTCGCTTCCGGGGGTGCCGAGCGCCGAGGTGCTCTGCCCGGCCTCGCGCTAACGGATCTTCCCTCCTTTCCCAAGACAGGGCTGTTCAGTCGTGCTTTTCACATATTCAAAGGAGACCTTTTGAATAATTATGATTTTATTCTTGTCCTGGCGGGTTTAGATATTATAATATCAAGTGCTGAAACTTTGCAAATCTTTATTTAACCCTTTCACAGGGCTCTGGGCACAGAACTCGAGAAAGCTTACGTGACAAAGAGATGTATTTCCACGGAGCTCAGCATTAAACACAACTGTTCAGCTCCAAAGGTTACCGATGAAAAATGGAACAGCACGACTATCCGAGCAGTGAATTACAGAGCTCTGCCGAAATAAATGGACCTGATCAAGATTTACTCCAGTGTGGGGCGGTGCGTGCGGATCAGGGGTCCTGGAGAGGGTCAGCACGATGAAAGAACTGCAAGGACAGATAGTCTAGAACCTTTTCTTCAGCTGCTACATTCGACACGACGTGTCTGACAGCCAAATTGAACGGGAACGTGGCGAGAAGACGATGTTTACAACTGGCACCAAGTTCCCTGTAAATCTCACCCCCCTGACCAGCAGCGCCCAGTAACTCAGCGGTTATCTCCGCGCGTCGGTTCTGCGAACATCGATACACGCGTTTGCTCTTTGGTTTCTTTTCCATCTAAATCACGAGGAATGCCTACTGTTCTCTGGAGTCTAAATCCCCAAAATAAAAAGATGTACATCCCCAAAGTACAAAGATGTACTTTGATGCCTCAGCAAAGTACATCATAAAAGTGTTACCTTTTTTTTGCCCGTCACAGTCCATTCTTTCAGTACCTCGCTGGCGTTGCCTGAAACGAGAGACGGGCGATGAGCAGCGGCCGAGGCACCCGCTGCGGTTCTTCCCCGGCCCTGTGGAAGTGCCTCCATACCTGGAGCCAGCTGAAACACTTCCTGCAGCTGAGTTTCAATTCTCTTAATTGACTTAAAAGGATTAGTTTCATTTTTGCTTTGGGCACACACTGCTGAAGGGGACTACTCCCTCGCAGCACAGTGCCAGCTCTTCCCAGGGAAAAAAAAAATTTTAGAAAATCTTCTCTTTGGGTGAGGAGGGAGGGGAAGGGCTCTTTACATGAGTGATGGGTGATAGAACAAGAGGAAATGGGTATAAGCTCAGTCAGGGGAGGTTCAGATTGGATGTTAGAAAGTATTTCTTCTCTGAAAGGGTTGTCAGCCACTGGAATAGGCTGCCCAGGGAGGTGGTTGAGTCCCCATCCCTGGATGTGTTTAAGAATAGGGTGGATGATCTACTCAGGGATATGGTTTAATGGGGATTAGGGACGGTTGGACTGGCTGATCTCTAAGGTCTTTTCCAACCTAGAAATCTATGAAATCTATGAAATACTACAGGTTTAGGCTCTTGGAACCCAGCTGGAGCATGTTCTGAACTCAGAGGGTCGCGTTCGGGTCAGGTGTCTGCTGCCCTTCTCTCCCCAGAGACGCTGGCGGTGTCAGGGTGGCCGCAGTCTG